ACAAAAGCAATTTGCTTCTTTAGAAGTATTAATTCAAACTAAACTTTATGAAATGTGCAGTAGTAGGCATTCAAAATTTCCCCACTTTCCTTGAAGGGCCCTTGGCTGGTCCCCTACTGCTCTGTTTCAAACATCAATCTTTGCACCAAAATATTCTGTCATGATTTTTGGACATTAAGATCTAAAGAGAAGCGTGTGTGCCGGGTTGATCATGCTTGAGTCAGCTCAAGCATGATCAACCTGCCATATATTTCTGTGAGCAGGCAAGCACAGCCTGTATGTGTGGAGGGAAATCTAGTTAGTTTAAGAAAATAATAATTACAATTATTTGCAGTCTTTTTTGTTCCATTTAGATTTTTGTTGTTGTTAATGTAATGTAAAAAAAAAAATGTATGGTTGAAAAAGTTCATGTTTTACCATGCTTTTTAAGCTCCTTTGTGGACCACAAGGGAAAAAAGAAAAAGTTTTTAAAAAGTTGGAAAGAAAATATATATGCAAATTAGGCAATGACGTCATTCAGCGACTTCTAGCTACTTGTAGCACAGCCAATAGCTACTTTCCTTACTGAGGAGTTGGCAACACTGTGAAAGGGTGGAGTCAGAGTAAAAAAATGTGCAAGTGGCTGGAATTTAGAGGGGATTTCACTTGGAGTTGCAGGGAAGTTGGCTGCCATTCGGCTGGCGTTTGCTACTGTACAATAAATTAGCTGAAGTAATCACAGGGGTTAAAATTAAGGCTTTGTGCCTTTAGAAGATAATTTAGAATTGAAAACACAAACGTGAAGGTAGAAACTCTTATAATGTACCAAACTAGGAACATGGTTGGATTAAAAACTTTAAAAAGCAGCTGCTTCCTGATGTAACATTAGCTTCTAGATGAACACATCAGTTTGCTGAGGAAGTCAAATTAGCTAATGAGACAATTAGCTATAATGACTTGTGGGAAAAATGTGCATTAACACACTGATTATTGTACCTTATGCATGCATATATTAGACTGAATAAAGGCTAAACTCTGTGAATGTTAATATGTTAAAATGTTAGGATATGTAGGGTCCTATGATTTCTGTGATGCGGATAAACTAGCCAGAATCGCTAAATTTAGCAAAGGAAGCTAAATCTAGTATTGAATGCTAAATCTAATGGAAGTCTCTCATTTGAGTTAGACTTTATGGTTTTTGAGGCATTTTCTTCACCAGTAGAGTGAAAAGAGATTTCTGACAACTCTATTAAAAGCAATGGGCAACATTTGAAAAAGTAATGGCGACATACGGTGGTAAAAGTTGAAGCTAGCATGCTAGCTCAAGCTAGAAGAAAATAGACAACAGATCTCAAACATCACATCATGCGCTCTGCTAATGTTAAGTGGTAATTAGGAATGTAAGGAAACAAAATACATATTTTTTTTATACAGTTGGTTGTTAGGTTGGTAGAAAATTATATTTAGGCTGTTCTACTTGTCTTTGATCGTGTGAAAAAAATGTTAACTTAACGGAATATGATTGAGATAAAGATTAGATTAGAGCTAGAGAAAACAAAAACACTTTAAATAGCTAACAGAACTATAATAGGGAGTACAGTCTAATATAGAATTGTACAGTAGCAGCCATTCAAAATTTCCCCACTTTATTTAATGGGTCATTGGCTGGTCCCCTACAATTCCTTTTTAAACAATCTTTGTACTAAAATATTCTGTCATGGACATTAAAATCTAAAGAGAAATAACATCTCCTGGTCAGATCCTGCAATTCAGTGAAAGGGTGGAGCCAGAGTAAAAAATATGCACGCCTGGAAGTAGCTGGAAGTTGGAGGGGTTTTTCCTGGGAGTTGCAGGCTGGCATTTGACTGGGAAGGACCATTTTGAATGTCTTGTACTGTACTTTACAATATAGATTACAGCCTCTCAATCAGTAAGCTTTTTCATAATGATTGGGTATTTTGTGAAATAATTAAAAGTATGCGGTCTGCCTCAGGTCTGCCTGTATTTCGAATGGGCTGAACTATTGGAGGCCCTCACAACCTAACTTGATTGGTGCAAATCTCCATTCCTTTGTCCACCGCAGACTCCTGTATCTGCCGGTAGCAGATTACGTGGCAGGCTCTTTTTTACAGAAACAAGAAAAAGTAGGTCAGCAATAGAGAATAGGTATGCAGAAACCCTGGAGTCCTCTAAATAATGTAAAAAGGGAACTTGGCAGTAAAATACCCAAGGAATTTATGGATCTGGAGTGCAACTTTTCTGCAGGTTTATTCTGTGCACAATCGACTGAACGCATAGGAATACATGTGACGGAGTTACATCAGACCCGGGAGAAGAAGCTAGCCAGCGGGAGCCAGACACAGATGCAAACTCCTCACCGTTCAATTACATCAGGATAACTGAGACATTAATTTATTTTTTACATTGGTTTTGTACTTTAAAAGAAGTATTCTTCTGTATACTTTACCTCCTTAAGTTTGGGATGGGTTAAATGCAGAGAGTTCATTTCGTTGCTTTGTACTTGTGACAGTATGACAATAAAAAAAAAAAAAGGTGAAAAAAAAAAACATTTGTCCACATTTGCCTGTTTAATGGGATCCAAGTTCATTTTTACTTCCAGCTTTCAGTTTGTAGGTTTTGTTTCTTTAGGAGATATTTTTATGTTAGAGGTTGTATATGTCACACATAAGTATGTTTATTTTTTGAAAAATGATGGGTAAATATTGTTAATACCATGCATATGATCTAGTGAACAACAATTATTTGTTCAATTTAAGAGCGTAAAATAACGGTCACTAAAACTTGTGTGGATACACTATTTATTAAATATTTTTCAGTGTATTTATAACTACATACTTTTCAGATTAATGAATACAGTCAGAAAGAAAAATGTGCATTGAAAAATAATGAAAAGATAAAAATGGAAATAGTGGAATTTGTTGTAACTGCATTAGGAACAAGCAATGTTAAAATTCTTTTATCTGATTGGTTATTGATTGATAACCAAACAATATTTTTTTACCTCCTCTTTACTGTATGGTGAATTAGTTTGAGGACATTCAAAGTGTCCTCAGTTATAAATAAAACCTGTCTCTCAACATGAAGTCTTTCTGGATTCAAAAGCCACATGTGGACCATCACAATCTTTCAAACTTCTGCAGATGTGCAGATCTAGTCATTCAGCCTTGAAGTCCTTTTTCCAGCACCTTGTCCTAAAGTTTCCAGGAAAAGTCTTAAAAGGCATTGAATTCTTCAAAATAAAACTAAGGCCTTAATTGGTATTAAAATGTCTTAAATTAGTCTTTCGTAGTTTTGTTTTTAAAACATCATGAATAGGAATATTTTTATCACGATTTATTTTTGTAATCTAAATAAAACATTAAAATTGAAAACATTTTTTTTTATAAAAAAAAATAAAAAATAAAAGCTCGCCATTATTGTTTCAGTCCCGATAGCGGAACCAATAAAGCGTTGTTGCTGCCGGGACATTTGGGAGATGCACCATTAACTTTTTGTCTGGAAAACATGAGCAAGCATAAATGTAACGAAAATAGTCTCCAGCCAAGAGTTTTCTCCATGGCTAAAACCAGGGAACATTCATGAGGCTCAGTGGATTTAGTGAAAGAAGTCATTCAATCTCAGAACGATGGGAATTAAGGCAGTGGAGTCGCACATGCGAAGCACGAAACACAAAGCGTCAAAATGGAGTCAGTTTAGTTCCACCCTTGTCTCTGCAACGCCTCCACTTATCACCAAATCAAACATACTAAGAAAACCATACAAAGAAAAATAGCTGCAAAAAAGACTTAGCACTGGTTATGTTGGGGCTTTAAAACTGATTTGTTTTGTTCCCTGCTAAAACAAAGTTTGTGAATTCAGTTAAATAATTGTTCAAATATATCTGTCATTTGTGTGTTTTTAGCTTTCTTCCTGTATGGGAAGCTTTTCAAAATTTAAACCATTAGTGCAGTGGTTTATGTTAAAATACACCTTTGGGTTAAGTTGTCGCAAGCAGGTTTTTCTTGAATTTGGTCTTAAATTTCTATTTCAAGTGGCATTAAAAAGTCTTAAAAAGTCTTGAATTTAACTTGCCTTATGCTGTAGGAACCCTGATGTGACAGTGGAATCAACATGTTTGCCGCCTGTTTCGACCGTACTGCTGCAGCATAAATCCAGTTCCCGGATTCTCAGAAAGTCACATATTTACTCTCCATTTGACTTTAACTGCAAACACTCTTTGTTACAAGTTGGACAGAAAAATCTTTTGAAGGTCAGCATGTTACATCGAACTGATCCAGGAGAGAAAAAGCAAACTGAACTATTCAACAATCTGCTGGCCTTGATTACATTCTCCAACAGCTCAAACACCAATCCCCAACTTTTTCCTTTTTTTTTTGTTTTCACCTTCTTTCCACCTTTCCCCGAGGCAGTTGTTGAGTTTGGTAGAAAGAAGGACAGACAAGCATTTTGCCAGGAGCACAGAATCGCTAGATTTAAGTCTGTTACTGCTCGACTCCTCTGGAGAATGACGATCACAAGGAAACAAAGACGGCGTGATGGTTTGACTGACAGCCTTTTATGTCTGTTCACTACAAGGTCAGATGTAGCCCAAATAGAAAATGGATGTGAGTGATCCTGAGTTTCTTCAAAGGATGTCCTTCGTTTGGCTTGAATGTTGTATGTTTTGTCAAAATGGAGGGTGCGACTTATGAGTGACAGCACTGAGAACCAATCTTAAGCGCGGGCATCAAAAGAAGAAGCCAAACAGCATCAGAGTCAAATGATCTAAATATAATTCGGTGACTGCAACCGTGTCAACTTCAACCTTGTCTCATAAATGTCATAAGGAGGGAATGTTCCGAGGTTAATTTCGTCATATTATCAAGAGAATAAGGCAATTACTAACAAATGACAAAAAAGGGCAATCGAGAAGCAATTCTGAGGATAACTGACCGCGATACGTCCTCTCGGCAGGTGGCTATTCATAATACAGCAGGTGATTCATATGAATTATTTCCTACCTGTCATTCACTTTGCTCTGCAGCCGAAGTAATTGTAGTCCTGGAGATCTCACTTTGGCACCTACAGCGGGAGTCTTGGCTGACCTTCCTGGGTGATTCTTTCCAAGCAATTATCTGCAGACATATTTTGAGGGAGGGGGGGGAGAAAAAGCGTAAATATTCAATAAAGGATCCGGCAACCAAGTTTTCTTCAATACAAGAGGCTTGTAAAAGCAACAGGAATGCAGATACGGGCGAGGTTTGGAGTATTAAGGGAAAACGGGGGGTTTAAATCCCCCATGTAAACACAACAGGTCATGAAGGCGGTGGATGTTGATGTGCTCCATTTTCCCAGCGATGATAAATTATGCAGCATATTTATAAGTATGGAAGAATTTAAAACTGACATTACCAATTGGAGAAACTGCCATTAACCAGCAGTCAGTCAATCTGAGCACACATCGAAACTCCAAGGCGCAAAACATCTATATTCCTGCCGAAGGTCAAGTAGCAACAAACTGTTGTGTAAATATTGTGACAAATGTGGGTATACTTTTTGTTTTTGTTTTTAAATTACAGTTTGTCTGTTACCAATGCGTACCTCACTCTAACCCTAACTGATTGACACCTTAGCCCTAAACCTAACCATTAGCAAAATAGCTTGTGAGGACCGCCAAAATGTTCTCACTTTGAAACAACGGGTTGTTGTTGAAACAACAATTTAATGGTGAAACCTGAAAAATGGTCCTCACTCTGAGGGCTAGACAGGTACACACACACACACACACACACATACACACACACACAAAATCACTATAAATGTGAATGTAATTTCAAATACGCAGATGTCATTTATCTATTATAAATATTAAATGTACCTCTAAAATGCACAGTTAAAAAATTTAATCTTGAGTAAATAAAAATCCAAGTAAATAAAATGTTAGAAAATAAGCAATTTCATGTTTAAAAAAAAAAAACAATAAATTTGAAAAATATAAAAATTAAGGGTGGAACAAAATCCACGGTTCGGTTCACAGTTTCGTGGTCATGGTTTTTGGTTCGATATATGTTGACTGTTACACTGAAATCCCATAAAAATTTATGAAAAAAATCCCAAAAAATGTATGAATTGTAAGGATCATTTCCACATGTTTTGCTGCTTTGAATTTAATCATCTCGCGCATGCCCTCTACGATCTCCGGAGCACAGCGGGGCGGAGCGCTGACGGAGTTTGTGGGATTTTGGGGTTAGCATGACATGTTGGTCGTGTTGCTGTTAGCATAAACAAAACGTGTTGCACAATGCTTGCACACTGTTGCACTTTTATCCACAACTTTCTTTCCGCCGTCATCGTAGGTCACTCTAAATGCAAAGTGGTCCCATACAGCAGACCTATAAAGTGCTGCTGGCGCGTCTTCCAACTCCTGTTCTTTCCCACTCGCCATACCCACACAATTCTCCACAACAGCTGATTTATTTCTGCTACACCCGGCTACGCTGCTTCGCTTCTTCTTCTTCTTGTTTACTACTGGTGGTTGGCTTTGGTCGCAGTACCGCCACCTTCTGCTCTGGAGTGTAAACGCTTCGCCTATGAGAAAAAGGAGCAGCGCATGAACCGAACGAAACACACGCGAAACGGACAGAGACAGTTGAACCGAACGGTTCGGACGGTTTTCATAAACCGTTCCATCCCTAATAGAAATTCAGTTTTTCTGTTTAACTTAATAGAGTAAATATGTATTTCAGTCCTCAATGTAGATTTTGTTTTTGGATCACAGGCTGAAATGTTTGTGAACTCCTCATTTTGAGAACCAATGAACTTAACGTGTATGTGGAAGGAATCTGGAGTTCCCAGAGAGAACATGCATCCATGACAGGAACATGGAAACATGAGAACCCTGTTAGTCAAATGATCCCTTTCACTATTATTCAGAGTATCGCCTCTATTTCCATATATAACGCACCATTTCTGATGTAGAAATGTTTCAACATGAACCAAAAGCCCTCCATTAATGGATGAATATTATGATCCTAAAGAGCAAGTGGCAGAAAAATAGAAAAGCAAATAAAGAATTCAAATTATTGGGTTCTAAAAGGAAAAAAGTTGACTTTATCACCAGGTGTATATTCATAATACATTTTATTTCAAAGGCGCTTTTCTAGACACTCAAGGTCACTGTACAAAGGATAAAAACACAATGAAAGAAAAAAGTCAAAACACAATAAAAAGCATTTTTTAAAAATCCAAAGGCTGGAACAGGGAAATTAATATGAAGGAGAATATTAAACAGATGAGTTTTGAGCTGCGATTTAAAATGAAGAAATTAGTAAGTAGGGTTAGTAAAGAGTTCCATAATTCTCCAGATGTTTAGTGTAATCAAGCTGCGCAGTTCTGTTTCTTCTTTTAAAGCCAAATCTATTTAAAATAAATATAGTCTCTTCGTTTTGTACCTTAAAGATCACTGAACATTCAGAGCGATCCCTTTTAAGTCGTCTTCTGTAATGTTGGACACCGTTCAGTTCAAAGTCCAATACAAATAAAATGTATTATTAAACTAGATTAACTAGTGTTTTAAAAGGGAGTCATGGCCTGGAAATCTGATTTTCCATGTTTAAAATGTGTTGGGCATATGACTGGGCTGTTTTTTTCCTCTTGAACTAATTAAACATTATTATTTTTGGAGAACTGTACACATAAAATGACCGATTTCATGTCAAATAACGATAACGGAAGACAAATCCTGATTCGCTGAACCCAATCTACCTCTCAGTTTTCTTAGCAGTGACTGCGGTGGATTATTACTGGAATATTAAAACAGAAACGGTGTGATGTTACCAACCAGAATAATTTTTTTGGTTGCATTTTTTTTATATAATGCAGGAAAGAGTTCATAATTAAGAAAAATGTCACCCCGAAAAATATCAGCTTTCCTAAATCAGCCAAGATGCTTCTTGACATCAAATCCTGTGCTTTCCTTTTTCTCCATATGCTTAGCATCTGTTTTTCCTCCATTTCCAAAGAAGCGTTAAGTTTAATTAGCTGTATTGAGACTATAAGACAATATTTTACAACTTTAATTGTATTGACAATATCACATTTTCACAAAGCATATGCCTTTGATAATGAGCAACGGAAACACTGTTTCAGTTGCATCTCCTGCTGTCGCTAATGGGACAGGCGCCTGTTTGCAGGTCTGTTGATGCTGAGGACTGGTTTTACTGGTAATTTTATGACTAAATACTAAATCAATTAAACAGCACAACCAAGCTCCTCCCCCCCTCTGTAAGGGAGAGCCCCGCCTCCCTGCGGTGGAAGTTAATTTTAGCCGCTTGTATCCAAGATTATCATCTGTTGGTCGCGATCCGATCCCGAGCGTACGGGTAGGAACGTAGATCTACTGCTGGTTTCATAAGTTTTATGTTAAAATGACAAACTGGGTTGTTAAACCGAGTCTTCCGTCTAGAATTATTTCCATGTTTCAATTATATTATCATAGTCTTTAAAATACCATAACCTGCACATCATTCTCTATTTTGGTTGGTCTTTATTACATAATTTTAATGAACAGATTTTACTCCGTACATTTAGATAATTTTTAATCGAGTTTTGCTTCTTCATTGTTGAAAACACAGGAGAAATTTTGTTAATGGAAATGAAAAAAATAATGCGATAGAGGAAAGTGAAACCGTCCCCCCTTCTCTTATTAAGGTGGACTTTCTTCTGGACTGATGAGCAAAGACTTTCTATCGGCCTTAGAGATATTTCCACTGGTCAATGAACAAGTGTTTTGGTTTCTGAGGGAAGAGCGTGGGATCCGGAAAACGAAAATTCCTGAAAAATTCCCTACAAATAGTTCCCACCAAAAAATATATAAATAGAACTGAAAATGACATCTGTCAAAAAAATAAATAAAATTAAATATTTTATGAAATTTTGAAACATTTGTAAATGTTTCAAAACTTAAAATCAAACATGAGATAATAGCAAAATTACTCTCAAACCAGTTTTTAAGAAGCATTTCATTCCTGCATTTTTTTTCATTCTAATTTCGATATACAAAAACTGTTCTTTGCCAACAATATTGGAATAAAATTCCCTCTATATTTTTATTTTTTACCTAATGCTTGAGTTGATGCATACGAGTTAGTTAAAACGATTGCTCAGGCCAATATACAGCGCTTGACACCATCAATGCTACAAGCGGGGCTCCCCTATTGTAATACTGCCTACCTAAGTTAAAAGACACACCGTCATTGGCCAGGTCATGTGACCTAGAAGATCGTATCGCTTTATGGTCACAGGCTCTTATATAGTCATGGAGCTAAGGCTTTAGCTCTATGGTTTTTCCACCTGTTTGACGACTAGTCATGGCTAATAGAAAACGTGAAAGGAATTGTGCGCGAGGAAAAACAAGAGTCCATCTTGGAAAGGAGTTTGTTTTCTGGCGCAGGCTGAAAGAATAAGCTGGATGTAAAACTGATTCTGTTCCTCAACTTTATTATTAAACTAGTAATTAAACATTTTTCTCCTAGTATAGAGTCATATATCTTTATTATTTACTGTAAAAATGTCCACAACTAGATATTATTTATTCTCCAGATGCACAGTATTTATATTGTAAAAAACTGTGTACAATGCAATATTTTTTTTAAACTATCACTTTTTCTGTTATTTTGATATATTTTTTTCAAGGTCCACATTTGCGTGACCACATCTGCATGGGCATCTTGCTGCTGTAACATCACGATTTCTCCATTGTGGGACAATAACAGGATTTTCTACTCGATCGTTTAGTAGAAGCAAATCATGTGCAGTTATGTGTCTAGTGCCCCTAGTGGCCAAAAGTTAGATGGTGTGACTTTAATCTTGATTGTCTTCTTGGATGGCTACCATTTTAGCCTCGTGAGACCATCCTGATCTCGCGAGCTTTCAAGATTTCACTCGCAGATCAGTCTGGAGACTCTCCGTTGAAGAAAATTTGGAGCCGTTCACCAAACGAACGTCCAATCAGCGTTGGCTTTGAGGCGGGTTGAGGTGTGACGCAACGAGAAGCGCGACAGTTCAGTCTAAAGAACATGGCGGCTTCAGCCGATGAAACTAGCGTTAGCGTGGCTATCGAGCAAGTTTCATCGGA